GAATAAATGGCCTGGACATTTAAAGGTTGAGATCTTCTAATAAAATATTCCTATTGTGAACAAAATTTAATTAGTTATAGGAAAAATTGCAAATGAAGACCCTTAAATGTATGAAATTACAAAATAAGTTTCGAAATTAACATAAAATCAGGTTTACATTGTTGAAATGACATTTGAATTTGATATTATTAAATGCTTCAGTTTGAATTGCTATTATTTACATATTTCATTACCAAACGACAAAAATAGTAAGTCAAATAATAAAAGTAGTAAGCCAAATAATAAATTTAGTAGCAAAATTACAAGCTTATGACTGTGTTTCTAATAAAATTAAGTTTAATGAAAAGTTACCATTATTTTCACATTTCACTGCCAAATGATAAGAATGATAAGCGAAATAACAACATAAAATTAAGTTTCATAAAAAGTTGACATTATTTTCACATTTTATTGTCAAATGACAAGAGTAATAAGTCAAATGACAAATTTGATAAGCGAAATTACAAATCTATGACTGGGTTTTTTATTAACTTTAGAATATTAAATAAATCTATATTATTATCATTTAGAATTGATAAATACAAAATATTGATATTGTTCTATTCATAAACAAAAGACTAACATTTCCGAATCATCATGTCATGTTTCTATCATCATAGTAAAAAGTATACAATTAGAGTAGGGAAAACAGGTCGAACCAGTTTAAGCCCAAAAATTATGAGAGTCGGATTTGAAAATTTTTTCCTCAAATAAAAACGGGCTCTAAAGGGCTAGCCTTGTAGGGTCAAGGCTTAAACGACCGACCCGTTTATGTCCTTTTATAATTTTTTTTTTGTTTTTTAAAATTTTTTTGTATAGTTCTAATATTATTAATTTCTTACATTGTTAATAATATTTCAAATATTTAGTTATTATTATCATCTTAAAATTAAATTTTACATAATAGTTTGATTTATTTAGTTTTAGATAATAATTTGTCTAATTAAATTTTTAAAAAATGGATTAATTAGGATTTTAATAATGATTTGATTTATATTATATGCATTGATATTTTTAAACTATATATATATTTGATAAGAGAGTATTTTTATATTTATATAACTTGTGATTTTATAATTTGAATTAGAAATTTATGAGTTTCAATAACATTGTTTCTCAAACTAAAGTAAAATAATAGCTAGATTGTAAAATTTAAAAGTAAAATTCCTATAAAGAAGAAAAACTTGATATTTTTGTTATGAAAAAAAGCATACGTATGAAGAAGAGTAATTGATTATAGTGATGATGAAACTTCAAAAGATTAATGATATTATTTGTTTATTGCATATTTGCACTACAGATTTGGATGTTATTTTGTTAATGAATGTTTTAAATGTTCTTGGATGTTAATGGATATTTATATATGATGATATTTTGTATTTGTAACTTAATTTTATTCATATTTATGTTTTTTATTAATAATTGTATTGGTTTATTTTCATTTTTTATAAAAAAAAGAGAAATATTAAAAAAATTTCCTTAAATAGGCCAAAAGCCCGCGGGCCGGCCCTGAACCTGTTAGCTTAAGGGTTGAGCCTAGTAAATTGGGGTATTTTTTAAATTTTGACCCTGTCCTTTTAAGCCTGTCAACCCTACAGGACCAGCCTTGATTCCTTCTTCTATATACAATTACAACACTAATAAGCAAAATTACAATAATAATAAGCCAAATAACAAAAAAATAGAAATGATGGCCAGAAAAAAAAACTAATTTTTATAATTAGCCATTTGAATTCAAAGGACTGGTAGAAAATCAGGTTTGAAAAATACTATGAAGCCACTAGCAAAAGATGGCACACTTCACTGTCGCTTACTGATCCATGGGGATAGTATAGTAACCTCATAGTGGCCCATTCAATAATCACAATGCCACAAGCAGGTGACAAAAATGGAAGAGGTCAATTTAAGAAAAGATATAAGAAAGACTGCCGTGGTTATTCTCTCTCTCTACTATAAACGTCTAATGGTGAGTGGCAATGAGTACTCTGCATTTCTCATATTGTTAGGGATTTGGCAGGAGTAAAGACGTGAAATAGGATGGTGTGGAAACGACAAAGTGAGGTGAGGGAGATGGGGGTGGAGATGAGGAAGGGGGTTGGGGGAGAGGGAGAAGGAGAAGGAGAAGGAAGAGGAAAGACGGGGAGGAAAGAGGAAGAGAAAAGAGGGAGACGTAGAGAAGGATAAAAGAGGAGGGAGAGAAGAAGAGGGGAAGGGTATTTTAATATTTTCTCTATTATTTCATAATTATAATTTAAAATCTGGTCTCTACAAGTAATTATATTAATTCAAGAATCTGCTATGCAATTTCATACATTTAAGAGTCTTTATTTGCGAATTCCCCTTATACTAAACATTCTTCTAATCTTAAGAGAGCCTGACGTTGCATTTATCACTATTCATAAATATTGCAGTTTATTATAAATTGTACATTTTACTAGCTCCGATCTTTAATATAAGACTTTATTTTAATTTTATTTTAGTCATAAATATAAGACGCCAGTCCACATTATTTATCATATTTATTTATTTTTTTTAAAGTAGTCCTTATAGTAATAATAATTCTAATCAATACACTTGACTAATAAGGATATTTTAAAAAAGACAACACCTATTTATTATAAATAACTAACTTAACTAGTTTTTTTAATTTAATAAATTTACACGACATGCAATCATTGCTGTAACGGGTGAGATTTGATTGTCAACGAGGAAATGTTTTTTTTCCAAGTATAGCTATCTAAATTTTGGTAAAAAAAAAAAAAGTATAGCTATCTAACTAAGTTAAATTTAAATATTGTCAAATTCAATTGGAGGTGGTTTTCTTAAGACTAATAAAATAATGTTTTTTAATACAAATCATCTCTATATAATATTATTGATGACTTATGGCAAAAAAATTATTGATGACTATGGAGTAATGTGAATTTAAGTTTGGATGGGTCTCAAGTGAAAGAAAATTTTTTAATATGATTTTTTAATCAACAAGAATTCAAAACTTCTCTTAGGAGGGATTCAGTTCCTTATTGTTTGTATTTTATTTTTATGTAAATCAATTTTCAAGCTAAACATGATTTTAAAATTTTAATTTGAAGTTTTTATGAACTAGGCTTATGATCATTTTTCAGGATGTTTGTAGTGTAACACATTGGTTTTCCTATCTAACAGAGAACAAATCTCATTGAAGAGATATATTAGAAAATACTCTCATAGTTCTTAATATAAGACATAATTAACTAATTTGAATAGATTAAGAATATTAGTTAAATGGTTATATAATATATTTTTCTAAAACAACGTGAGTATTTTTTTAATTTTCTTTTATCTCTTTTCTATTTAATTATTATTGAGGGAATATTTATAGAGTTAATTTGAAAAAAATTAATAAACATGTAAAATATATCTTACATATAAGATCAATATCAATTCTCTAATTAGCTTGTACGTTTAAGTAGAGAGGAGTATTAAGAATTCTGTCCTATTTAATTAATTATTTCCCAGAGGAAATCTTTTTATGAAATTAATATGCACTTTCCAGTCTCGTTTAGAAAGTAACGCATCATTTTCAAAAACAACGCATGGTTGACCCAAACCAAAAATATTTATTTCACGTATATAATAAAATTATTTTTAAAATTATGATTTAGTTTTTACCCAATCATTTCTTAGTTAGCTTTAACTTACCTAGACATTCAGGTAAAAAAAAAAAAAAACTTACCTATAGGCATTTACCCCGTCCATCCATCGGTGTCACTTGTCAGGTTCATTAAAAAAGGGTTATAAAAATATCTTTCACATAAATTAAGGAAGTCAATGAATAATCGAAGATTTTGTAAAATCAATTTAATACTTTCCTAAAATGTGCATGCGTATGATACCGTCTAAGTAGATATTCCTCCTATCCTTCTAAGATCTAATTGAAAAGTTATATTAATCCTATATATAAGACTTATTTTATATATTTATTAATTTTTTAAATTAATTCTATCGATATTTTTTCAACAATAATCAAATAGAAGATAGAAGAAAAAAATTAAGGAAGATGTATAGGGTATTTTATTAAAAAAACATATCATATTAACTAATTTAACTAATATTCTTAATTTTCTCAAATTAGTTAATTATATATTACATTAAGGATCAAATGAGTACTATTTGACTACTAAAGGATAAATTAATAAGAAAAAATTACAAATAAAGACCCCCCAATATATAAAATGGCAATCAGGGACCCTAAATTTGAGAAATTATTGTAGAGGACCCGGTCCCAATTTGTAATTATGAAATGTGTGTTAAATGGCTGAAATGCCCTCACTCATTGTTACCATTAATGAAGGCAGAGACCAGGATTTTAATGGGTGGCAGGAGAGCTGCTAGAGAAGGAAGACCCGAACGAGTTTGTGTGATATTGGGATCTTCCAACATTGGCAATGATGCGAGTAACTTACTGACTAAACCCTTCTTGTATTGTTTCCTGTAAGAGTTACACATTGTGATATTCTTCATCTTCATCTCTACTGTGTGGGTGAGTAGGCTGGAGGAAGGGAGGGAATGGGAGGTGTAGTTGAAGATGAAAGATATCACAATGTAGGAGGTTGTGGTTAGTTAGAGGTGGGATATTTTTGTTTTTGTAGTGTGAATGGTCATCTCTCATTTGTAGTGCATGGTACTGGTTGCGATGGGGAAGGGGTAGGAGTGTAGTGGTTTGGCAGAGTGTAGGTGGGATAATGGCTGTTTGTTTGACCGTGAAGGTTGAGGTGTTGCCGCGGAAGGAGGGAATGACGATGCCATGATTTTTGGTGTTGAAGTCGTCAAGCCCTAAAGTGATGTTGGGAAGACAGGAGGTCGCGGGTTTTTAATTTGGTATGTAAATGATTAAGTTGATGGAATAAATGTGTAAATATTTATTAGTGAAGCTAACATACAGACTAAACATAAATTTTTGCTGCAGATTAGTATGAAAAATGGATTTCAATAACCGAAGAAGCTGTGGGAAGGAGTTGTTCTGTTACGTGCACATTGGTGGACATTTTGAAGCAAATGGTGAAGAGATAGTTAAATATATTGGAGGGAGTGTAAGGGTAATCAGTATAAAAGAATGGATAACAGTAGACGAGTTGTGTGGAATAATTTCACAGTGGATAGGCAATGATGGTAGTGGATATGAGATTAAGTATAAAGTTAAATTTGATGAGAGTACATTGATTGATCTTTGTGATGATGGTGATATCTGCAACTTGTTTAGATATAATGACAGCAGTGGTCATGTGTATGTAGGAGGGAAAGAGAATGATAGGGAACCTAGAGCAAGGAATGATCCAGATGTGTAAGTAGTTATGTTTTCCAATTGAATCTTGTTATTTACTAATATATTGTTGGTAATTCGTATAGAAATGTTGTAACCAAGCTAATGGTGTTGCAGTCCTAAATTGTAATTAGTAAATGCAAGCATGTTATTGAACATAGTGGACATGTCATTTCCATTTGTAAACTTGTGTTTTAGAAATGCAGACTTGTTATTAGACATAAGTAGTGGTTTCCATATGTAGACTTGTAATTCAACGTATTGAAGTTGTAATTATCATATACGGACTTGTTATTTAGATCTGTAGATGTTATTTTACTAACCACTAGTTTTATATGGAAACTTTTTATGTGAGTAACTCAAGTTGTAATTACCACATACGGACTTGCTATTTTAGCAACGAATAGTTTGTAGATGTAGACTTGTTATTTTAGTTACTAAAGTTGTAATAACCATATGCGGACTTGTTATTTAGATATGCAGACATGTTATTTTATTCAAACATGTCGTTTGAATATAGCCGTCCTAACTTGGTATTATGGTGGTAGGAGTGACAATATATTTGGACTTTCACAAGACATGAATGCATTTGAAATGACCATTGGTGATGAACATGAGCCAGTGAATGTTGAGAATGGAGTTGAGTGCCTGACTTTTGAAGGAGGCGGATCAAGGCAGAGAAGCAAGTGTAGTGGTTTAGAGAGTAAGGGAAAACTGACGGGTGAGATGAATTGTATGAAACGGGCAGGAGTGTTTGTAGGAGTGGGCTAATATGTTCCACATGTTGTTGCTTTTAGGGAAGCTGTGTACAGGTTTAGTATTGCAGAGAAGTTGGCAGCGAGGTATGTCAGGAATAGTAAGGAGAAGATGAATGTGAGGTATAAAGTAGAAGGGTGTCCTTGGAAGATATGTGTAAATACTGTTGGAAAGAATAGTCATCTATTACGTGTGACTGCATTTTGCAAGGAGCACATTCATTCAGCGCAAGACAATTTGATTGTGACTTATGGTGGGAGTGCTGCGTTGATATCATCAGTAATAGTTGAAGAGATAAGGGACCATGCTGAAAAACGGCCCACTGAGATAAGGAAGATGTTGGAGAGGGAGTATGGTGTGAGGTTACATATTATCAAGCATATAGAGCAAAGGAAAAGGTAATGGAAGAAATACATGGGAAACCGGAACAGTCCTATATGTTAATACCATGGTTATGTGAAAGGTTGAAGGAAAATGATGACAAAACGGTTGCTGAATGGGCCTCTATTGGTAATAGATTTGAGCGTGTGGTCATTGCATACAGTGCATGTGTTGAGGGTTTTTTGAACAATGCAATACCTATATTATATGTTGATGGTACTCATTTAAGTGGTACATATAAGGGGACGTTACTATCAGTTTCGGCATATGATGCGGCTAATGAGATGTTACCATTTGCAATAGTAGTGGTGAAGGGAGAGAATTTTGATGACTGGACGTGGTTTTTTCACAAGATTAAACAAATAGTTGGTTCAATGCAACTGATTATTCTGTTAGATAGACATAATTCCATAATTGGTGCTGTGCAAGCAATATTTGGGGGTGAAAGGCATGCATACTGTTATAGGCATGTGAAGGAGAACTTTAGCTCTGAATATATGAAATTAAATAGAGGTCAGAGAAGGACAAGTGAAAATTCAAAGGAAGATGCATTGAAGGTACTGGATAAAGTAGCTTATGCAAGACTTGCGGATGAGTTTGATCATGCGCTGGATGATCTCAGAACCATGTCTCATGAGTTATATGAGTGGGTTATCAATCAAGGTGATGTGGATAGGTGGGCATTGAGCAAGTTCCCATATAGAAGGTGGGACAACATAACAACTAATTTAGCCAAATCTTTTAATACTTGGATGGTAAGAGAGAGGAAGCATAACATGGCCCAAATGATCCATGAGTACCAGGAGAAAGTAGCAAGAAAGATGCATGCATCATATACAACAATGATTAAGTGGAGTAATTGCGTTGGGCCAAAAATAGAGGCAAAAGTGTTGGAGCAAGTGCATTTCAGTAGGTACATGCACTGTGAGAATTATGGAAGGGGAAGAATATGCGTGCACACATCATGCGGAGACCAAAAAGTGGACCTTGGCCTACACCAATGTAGCTATGGAACTGGGCAAATGTCAGGGATTTCATGCTCACATGCTTGTGCAGCCATTAAGACCATAGGGGAAAACGTTTATGATTATGTTGAAGAGTGTTACAAACGTTCATCCTAAGAAAAAATCTATGCCCGGAGCATGGTTCCAGTGGTGACAATTGATATGCCTCACCTGAATGACTATAGGTTTGAGAATCTTACTGCCCAACCCTTGCTTTTACCCCCAATCACTGCTAGGCCTTCGGGAAGACCAAGAAGAAACATAAAGGAATCACAATTCCACAACAAAAAAATATATCATTGCACTAGATGTCTTCATCTTGGACATACAAAGAGAACATGCAAAAATCTTAACCCAAGTTGACTTCTACTTACAAATAGGACAACTAATTTTTTTGGCATATATAGGGTTCATCCTTCTTAATTTTTTTGGGAGCAGGGTGTTGGTAGATGTGCACATATATTTTTTATTACTTCTATGTTTGGGACAAAGGGACATTAAGTGGAAGATACAAGTTAATGTGCACTTGTCATTGAATGGTGTAAAGAACTTGTTGCTGTGAAAGAAATCAAAACTTGTTACTTCTTGTTATTTTGCATAGTTAAGTTGTCATTTACTTTTGTGCACTTGTAATTTCATGTTCATCAGAAGTGGTTGCTATCAGAAATGTGCAAAGTGTAATTCCATGTTTATCAGAAGTGATTGCTGTCAGAAAACGAAATGTGTCAAAACCTTATAGGAACTTGTCATGTGCCATAGTAAAGTTGTCATTTAGCAATGTCAAGTTGTAATTATGTGTTTATTAGTAGTGGTTGCTATCATAAATGTGCAATATGTAATTCTGTGTTTATCAGAAGTGGTTGCTGTCAGAAAATGAAATGTGTCAAAACCTTATAGGAACTTGTCATGTGCCATAGTTAAGTTGTCATTTGGCGCAATGTCAAGTTGTAATTCCGTGTTGATCAGAAGTGGTTGCTCTTGGAAATGTGCAATGTAATCACTACCTTCAAAAGTATGAAAATGTATTAAAACCTTCTAGGAAATTGTCATTTTCCATAGTAAACTTATCATTTCCCTTTCTGAAGTTGTAACTTTGTGTTTACCAGTAGTGGAAATCCAGTCGTTTCATGAAAACATTATTCGAACTTGTAATTTTCGGTAGTGAACTTGTCACTTTCGTTTATGAACTTGTCATTTCATGATTATCGTAAGTGGGAATCCACTCATTTCAACAAAAAATCTCGGTTTCATGAAAACTTTATTGAAACTTGTAAATTTCTCTAGTCAACTTGTCAATTTCCTTAGTGAACTTGTCATTCCGTGATTATCATAAGTGGGAATTCACTCATCTCAACAGACAATCTTGGTTTCATGAAAACCTTATTGGAACTTGTAAATTTCGCTAGTCAACTTGTCAATTTCCTTAGTGAATTTGTCATTCTGTGATTATCATAAGTGGGAATCCACTCATCTCCATAGACAATCTCGGTTTCATGAAAACATTATTCGAACTTGTAATTTTCAGTAGTGAACTTGTCACTTTCGTTTGTGAACTTGTCATTTCATGATTATCGTAAGTGGGAATCCACTCATTTCAACAGAGAATCTCGGTTTCATGAAAACCTTATTGAAACTTGTAAATTTCTCTAGTCAACTTATCAATTTCCTTAGTGAACTTGTCATTCCGTGATTATCATAAGTGGGAATCCACTCATCTCAACAGAGAATCTTGGTTTCATGAAAACCTTATCAGAACTTGTAAATTTCTCCAGTCAAATTGTCAATTTCCTTAGTGAACCTGTCATTCCGTGATTATCATAAGTGGAATTCCACTAATTGGAACAGAAATTTTCCCTTGTATGAAAACATCTTGGGAACTAGTCATTTGGCATTGTCAGCTTGTCATTTTCCTTTGTCAACCTATCATTCCATGAATCAATGTGTGAATTTAGCTACCTTTAATACAAAATCTCAAATTTGTATGAAAACCTTTTCACAAGTTGTCATTGGCCATAATGAACTTGTTGCTCGTACTAAACTTGTCATTGGCCTGACTAAAGGGAAATTTGTCATTCCAAATATAAGTGTTGTTATACCATCAATCCAACCATATCATAACCATTACAATAATTGGCATACAATTTCAACAAATAAATCCATTAACAAAGTTAGTAAAAGTCACACGGCCTAATTTAAATGCTCTCTACAAAGACTTTCTCCTCTTCTTGGTCATTCGGCCCTTCTCTAGTTGTGAGATAAGATCGTACACATTCTGACGGCATTCATTGTCATCATGGTTCACTAGCCACCACATTAGCTCGCGCCAAAAAGAGGACACATCAGCCTGCACAACAAGTTTACCACCAAACAAGTCACACGTGGTCACTTTTGATTACACAATAAATAAGGTAACATCAATACCTCGGTATATTCAAGGGGAACATGAAGCTCCCATTTTCTGAGCCATACGAGCACATGCACACCACAGTCCCTCCTGCCCATAACACCACCCTAACCATTTCAGCTCCTCAAACCAACACAACCAAATAACATGTCACATGAGTAGGGTGTAGACACTAACAAATTATTCTGCTGTGGTACATTAGGCCAGACAATTTTCAAGTTATCACTCAAATCTGGTCTAACCATCTGAAGTATGTCTTCAAACTGATCCCTCTGCACATATGCCATATTCATCAAAATGATAATAATATAAAATTGCCATCTCCCTATCTAACATGCACAAGTCAGTAACATCTTACACATCCTGTGATGGCCAATTCTTGGGGGTCATATGTGGCTGCTTTCTTCTGCTTGGAGGTGGTCTTCTTACGTTGTAAACTTGCTCGCATAGAATCGAGGACATTGAACTTCCGGATCTTTGGTTCGAATGCAAAACAGAACCAATGCTCCCCAACTAGAGCAGGACCTAGAATCAAGTCGCAGTCACCTATGTTGTAGCCAACATAATGCGGAAGTATTTGTCGTGCATGCTGGTTAGGATCCCAACGAGCTGGATCACAGATTATTATGGCTTGTCAAATGCAAAAAACCAAGTTGTTATTCACTGTAACACACTTTATTCTGTCATTTTCATTTGCAATCTTGTAAATCAAAAAAGCATATTAGTAATACAGAAACCTCACCATGAAGTCTGCATCAAATATATGCCTCCTAACTCAGCCTTCAACTGCCTACTGCTCTTGCACTAAAGCCTTACAGACCAAGGACATCACCCGGTTACTCACCCTGTTATTTCTGCCAAGCGAATGCAGCAATCGTTAGGGGATGTCTTCATCGAACATTCTAATCAAAGGACTGAAACATATTCAAGTGATTTACCAGATGTGTTATGTTAACATGTAGTCAACAAATAATATCACATAAGCAAAGATTTTCACTTACATCTCGCCCTCATCACCTTTGACAGCTCGGCTGACTAAGTTGAAAAAAATATCCTTGGGCTCCATAGGCCTCTTCACTCTTGATTGTGCCTTCAACTCGAACCAAGGAGACTTGATCTTGCTGAACCGAACCCTAGTAGATCTCCTTAGTTATTGTGCTTCCACAGATACAGGTTCTGGATCAGGCCCAACATATTCAACAATGGCCTCTATCGGTGAGTGACCCTTTGCCTTATCACCTTCAACGCTGGGTGACACTTCCCTAAGGGGACTGGCTGCAGGTATGTTACCCTCTACATCATCATTTACAATATTGCCTGCCACTTCCATAGGGGAACTAGTTGTGGGTATTGCACTCTCCATCAGAAGTAGTTATTTGTCATCACCCTCCCCATTACCCTTGTGTTCCATGTCCCCTTTGCTCCTGTCATCACCATCCCCTTGACCCTCTTCCTCCTTCTCTTCATTGTCGCTGTCATTTTCTGTGTCACCCTTCCCATGACTATCTCCATCTTCACTGCTTACTTCATCCTTCTCCTTTTCCTCAGTTGTGTCATCATTGTTGTGCCTCTCCTCCTCATCATCTTTAGAGTCACTTATATTTGTAGGCACTGTCTCAACCTGAGCATTTCCTCTTGATTTACCCTTCCCACCATCTCCCTGTCTTGGGATCTGTACTTTCATCAGCTCCTCATCCACCATTTTTATTAGCACCTTTTGCCCTTCCTCTATCCTCTTCATTAGGCGCTCATGTAACTTCTTCAGCTCCTGCATGTAAAAGACATTAATCAATTAAGTATATATAACAACAAGTTCACTATGGGAAATGACACCTTCACTATGGCATATTGACAAGTTCAGTAAATCAAATTACAATTCAGATATGGCAGATCACAAGTTCATTATACAGAATTACAAGTTCAGTACACAAAATCACAACTTAGATATGGCAGATCACAAGTTTATTATACCGAATGACAAGTTTAGTAAACCAAATTACAATTCAGGTATGACAGATCACAAGTTCATTATATAGAATTACAAGTTCAGTAAACAAAATCACAACTTAGGTATGGCAGATCACAAGTTTATTATACCGAATGACAAGTTCAATAAACCCAATCACAACTCACGTATAGCAGATGATAAGTTCATTATACCAAATGACAAGTTCAATAAACCAAATCACAACTCACGTATGGCAGATGACAAGTTCATTCCGAATGACAAGTTCAGTAAACCAAATCACAACTCAGGTATGACAGATGACAACTTCATTATACCGAATGACAAGTTCAGTAAACCAAATCACAACTCAGGTATGGCAGATGACAAGTTCATTATACCGAATGACAAGTTCAGTAAACCAAATCACAACTCACGTATGACAGATGACAAGTTCATTATACCGGATGACAAGTTCATTATACCGAATGACAAGTTCAATAAACCAAATCACAACTCATGTATGGCAGATGATAAGTTCATTATACCGAATGACAAATTCAGTAAACCAAATTACAATTCAAGTATGGCAGATCACAAGTTCATTATACAGAATTACAAGTTCAGTAAACAAAATCACAACTCACGTATAGCAGATGACAAGTTCATTATACCAAATGATAAGTTCAGTATACAAAATCACAAGTTAGTCTACCCATTGATAAGTTCAATATGACCAATCATAGCATAAGTATTACGAATAACAACTTGAGTTTGCCAAATTACAACTTAACAATGACAAAGCTCTATGTCACTATAGCAAATCAGAACTTCAGTATAGGAACTGATAACAATACTACGGCAGATAACAAGTTCAGATTACGAAATAAAAACTTCACTGCCTTTTCCTCCATACATAATCTCCTTGCTAGCCAATTCTTTTATCTTCTCATCAATCCAGTATTCAATTGCAGTAGTAGACTCTCGACCAACTGGCGTGTTGAGGTTAAAATGCTCACAAAAAATAAGCTGCAAGCCAGGCACATATATGCAACATTAATGTTATGCACATTGGTAATCAAATGCAAACACAATGACAAACAAAATAGTAATACCAGAAGTAAGTATATGCAGCCACCAACAGTGCTGCTCCCCTACCCTTCATTACCCTGCCTATACCCTTTGACATAGTCTCCCATTTCTTTCCAGAGGTCCTTTATAATGTAGATAGCCCAATCATACTTTCCAAAGTCATCCATTGTGCAGCGCATGACTCTAACCAACTTCTCACTCGCTTCTGAGCTTGATTTCAGACATAGAAAAGTACCCAGGGTGTGCAGCACAAATAAAAACTCGAATCTATAATCCTTCTCCCCTGAAACAATGTCTTTTAGTATTTTGCTGAATGACACTTTCCGATATTCATTTCTCAACTCCTGATACATAGCATCACCGACATCAACTTTAGTTTTCACCTCCTCCCCACCGTGACGGATTCCTAGTAGTTGCTCAACATCTTCTGCTCCTATTTCCTCTGATTTGCCCCTGATTGTAAATTAATGCGTTGGTGGGTCATATGATCTCAGTATGGTCACAATGAGATCACGGGGTAGTCTCTTTAATCCAACCTTCAACAGCCTCCTGAAACCCATCCTCTCAACCCTCTCCCTTAAGTCTTCATTATTGTTCACAAAGTGCAGTAATTTTCTTAAACCCTTCAGGGACATTTAGGTTAGAAATGATGGGACATGTTTCTTTTTCTCCTCTTCTCCCTTTTGTGGCCTTCTTTTCTTCACCTCCTTGGTGTACCTCATCTTCTCTTCAGCGGCCAAAGCTTTCCATGCATTTGACGCAGCATCTCTTTTTTGTTTGGCTGTCATGTCAAGGTCAGCTATTGTGGCCATAAACTCACTTCTGAATAACAACCAATCCTTGTGTGCCTTTTTCTATCCAGAGGCTCCTTCTGATGCCATCTTCCTTTTCCTGCAAAACATTTAACATACAATCCTTCACAACCACATTTACTAACTAACTATCACCTCTGTTACCAACCTATTCTGTAACCAACAGCCTTCTTACATCACCACCATTGACTTCTTATTTCGAAACATGAACTTGTAATTTCATATAAGCAAGTTGTCAATTTCTCAAAGTAAACTTGTTATTCTTAACTACTTCTCATGCTTGTTATTTCTCATCATTAACTTGTCATTTACAATTATCAACTAGTTATTTTCAAGGAACAAAAAACCGGACCGGACACTAAACCGATCAAGATAGTGGGTTAAGGGTCAGTGGGTTAGATCGAGGTTAGACCGGGTTAAACCGGTAATAATTAAAATAATTTAATTTAATTATAAAATATTTATGTGTATAATTTTTATGCTTATTTTTATTTTCTTTTTCTCTTTTTTTTCTTCCTCTTTCCTCATGAATAGCCGAGTACTTTATCTTGGTTCTTCTCTTTCTTGTTCAAAACTTCAAAGCCTGAAAGTCATTTCTCCCTCTTCCACTTTTGTTCTTTCTCAGATAGAGAAAATAAACAGTGACCTTTTCTTTCGTTCTGCACATCTATTCTACTCTGGTATTTATCCTCCTCCTTGCCTTCAACTCTTCCACGAGCATAGGGTTGAGACTGCACATAAGAGGCTTCCAAATGGATCTTTCTTTTCATGATTTTTTCTGCTTCTACCACTTCTCTCAACCATGTTCAATTCTTCTCCGGTGGTGAGATGGTAAGAGTAAAGAAGAAGAAGGGGAGAAAAAGAAAACCGGTAACCCACCCAACCCACCGGTTTTGCCGGTTCTTACCGGTTTTTCTTGATTTTTTCCAGTTCATTTCGGTTTGATTCAAAACCAGTTCATTCTTCAAACCAAACCAGACTGGAGGTCGGTTCACCGGTTTTCCTGTTGAACCGGCCGGTCCGGTCCGGTTTTTTCTTCATTGGTTATTTTACATTATAAAGTTCTCCAATTGTCATAGTCGCCTTTCTTATTCCCAACTTCTTATTGTCATTTTTAAACTTGTCATTTCCTATTGTTAACTTGTTAGGAACCCATGACAACCTTCTTATTCTCAACTGCTCAATAATTTGTTATTCATTATATTCAACTTGTTATTTCCTATTACCAACTTGTCAATTACACATTCTTATTTTACATTATCAACTTCTCAATCCCCCTACTTCCATTTTGTCATTTTAAACGAGACTATCACTTTAACATCTCTTCAGATCAATTAACAGTTAACCAATTCAATTTGCACTTTACCCATTCCAGTGTCGTCATTTTCCAAACTAATCTTGTCATCCTCCTAACTGATCTTCTCATTCCCTTCCCACCCAAACCCATTCGCCCATTTTCTTCAACAGATAACCATTTTTTGCCAATCAGTCACAACTTATTCAACAAAAAAAACATATATATACTTTCCTGCCCTAAACGCATTCCCTTCCCTCTTCTTAATGTATCACACAGGCAGCAACGAACACAAACAAACCAAAGCTTGAAACTTACCACCAAATTTTGTCGCCAAATGTCGTTGTTAACTTTGATAGCCACACACGACTGTCACGATGCGTCTACTACCTCCATTGCCTTCGACAATGCCGATAGATCACTACTCCAGCACCACTCTATTCTCCTTTCCCACAGCAAATACACTCTTCTCTCACACAATACTCCTCTCGCCACAAAATGGAAGCAAACTCCTGCGCACAAATGGACAGAGTAGACCGCAAAGAATGGCCGAGAGGATACAGAGCATAGGGAAGTTATCGCGCGTTTTGGGAGGGCAAGAGCCCGAACAGGTTTTTTTTTTAAATGAGTGAGGGGCATTTCAGCCATTTAACACACATTTCATAATTGCAAATTGGGATCGGGTCCTTTGCAGCAATTTCTCAAATTCAGGGTCCCTGATTGCCATTTTATATATTGGGGGGTCTTTATTTGTAATTTTCCCAATTAATAAGAGTAAAATTGGAAATAAAATATTTAATATCTTATTTAAATCTCAAAATGACACTTATTTTAAGTTATAAAAAATATTTTATGATACTTGTGATGAAAATAAAGGGAATTTACAAAGAGTTTGCAAATCCCATTACGTGTATGATAGCTTTTAAGTAAATACTCTTTTATCTCTAATATAAAATCTAATTGAAAAATTGATATTGATTATATATGAAAGATTTATTTTATATATTTATTAATTTTTTTAAATTAATCCTATTGATATTCTCTCAATAATAATCAAGTAGTAAAAAAAAGAGAGGAAATTAAGACAAATGCTTAGAGTGTTTTAAAAAAAAAACGTATCATATTAACTAATTTAACTTACATTATTAATTTACTCGAACGAGTTAACTAATTAATTAAGTCTTACATTAAGCACCAGGTGAGTACTATTTGGGCCAAGCTGTTTGACTTACTTTTTAATTTTTTTTATTCATGTACCTCTTCCTATATGAGCACCAATTAACCACTTAATCTGTTTGTGTTTTTAACAGCATACCACTTAATCTGTTTATCACCATAAAATATAAAATATATAAAAGATAATACTTATATGTCATGAATAATACAGCTTCTTGGTCAAATCCCATGTACTCCTTCTGTTCTTAATATAGGACCTAATTAAAAGATTGATATTAGATTCTAAATATAAGACTTATTTCTCATATTTACTAATTATTTCATAAATTATTCTTATTAAATAATTAAATATCACAATAATACTTATTACTCATTAATAATACACCTATATATTTTATAAAGTGAGTGAGTACTTATTACTTATTAATTCTACACATACGTTAATCCTACCGTTGGATGCTTTTAATAAAATAATTTAAAACATTTTTTGAAATATCAGTTTTTTAAAAAAAATATTAACTGAGGGTGTTTTGAGAAACATATGTCATATTTATGATTATTGTCTAACTTAACAAACTTTCTTAATTTAATCAAAATGATTAAATAAGTCTTATATTAAAAACCGAAAGAGTAATATACAAGAAAATGCCTATATAACCCATAAAAATTTAAAAATTTAGTTGAACATAAAATTTATTTTTTTATGTCCCATTTTCATTCAAATAATGAAGATAAAAACTATATATATAAATATATAAATATATATAAAAAACAACAAAACAATCCATTTAAAATCGAGCCCTATAAATAATCAACGAAATGGTTTGATTTACAAATAAATTTGAACACTTTAAAATTTAATGTTTTATGTTCTATTTTCATCACCAAAGTGACAGAATAATTTGAACTTTTTTTTTTCCACATAAATACCCAGTATCCTAAGTGAGGCTATCTTTCAGGCACAAAAACAAGCTCAGATTAATCCAAATTAAAATATAACAAGTACCATTAAGATTGGTACCCTTAAGATGCCGCATTTCCATATCGCATACTCGAGACCCGCGATTAACTTTTAAATGTTAACGCTGCTAATGATCAAAGATTCCAAAATATTAAGATCATAGGTACCAAACAACTTTTTCCGCAACATGATCTCCCGAAAAGAAACGCAAGCACTCAAACCGCACAAATCAAATGAGAGCTGGATGTGTATATAAACTAAATAAAAGTGAGCTCCCACCCATTTCACTCCTTCAAACATATGGGGCCAAGGATAAAAACGTTGCGGTGCAACCACCATCTATGTTTATTCTGTAAAACTTCCCAGATAATTAGAAACCAGCCCACCCGGCAGGTTGGGAAGTTGACTTGCCCTCGTATGTCTTGGCATTACCAAAAGCCTGAGGATTACTCCCTTCTGTGCTAGGGGGTCTGGGCATCTGTGAGCTTCCAGCAGCAGATACAGAAGCGAAACCATCTGTTTCAAAACCCCATGTATCAAAATCTGAATGTGGTTGAATTGGTTGCTCGTTTTGATGCATTTTTCTTGTCCTCACAGATTTGGCTCTATTATTGTCCGCAGAAGCAGACTTTTGTTGCTGGGGTTCCTCTGGAAAAGCTTGCCATGCCTTCGGTTCTGAACTGGGACTTTTCATTTCAGTTTTGTTTTGTGGGAGTTCCCACATCGTCCCGCTAACCTTCTCCTTCTGCAGTGGTAAGCCCAATAATTATAGCAGCGTGCCAACAACAACCTAAAACCGATGTGAGAAGTTAATAAATAATGTAGGAATTCAGATAGTTAAGATTACCGTAGCCGCAGATGATGGAACTGTAGGAGAGGCTCTCAGACCCTCTTTCTTTGGCGATGGAGTTCTTGCTGCAAGGGTTTGCTTGAGATCCTGGATCTCTTGCCTTCGAGATCGGCAAATGGCAGAAAGCTTTTCGTACTTTGAAGTTATTTCAGCTTTCTCCTGCTGAGTTTCCTTCAGCTTCACTCTGAGTTTCTCCACTTCAGCCTCTAACGCTTCCTCTTTCTCAGATTTTTTATCACTGAATCCAGGGCTAAGCTTACTGGTATCAAATTCAGCAACAAATGTGTCAAAAGCTTTGTCTTGAAAGGAGGTTGCGTTCTCCTTACTTGAAGAAGCTCGCCTCTCACCAGCAAGATGTGTGTCCTGGTAAAATTTTATTTCAAAGTCCCTGGAAGATACGGCATCTAGTTTGTATGATTTTCCATGTTCGCTGTTTTTCACATTTTGTGGTTGTCCAACATCCACTTTTTTACCACTAACATTTTTGGGTAGTTGGTTATTGTCTGGACGAATTCTATCATGTTTTGCTGAGACATGATCGCCAGATGGTTCTTCATCAAACATTGGTCTGCTCTTAACCTCCGAGGCAGATGAGTCCTTTGCATGCATAGTAGACCAGAATGCGCCAAGCTGCCCTCCACTTCCCCCTCCCCTAGAAGAATGGGATGACTGCGATGAACTTTTAGTTTCTCCAGATGAAGGTGGAGGAGGTGGACTCCGACGAGGCATTGGCAATGATTGAGTTGCAGGCTTTGCAGAACCTGCCAAAATTTATATACACATTCCTTTCATGTTTGACATTATGCACACCATGGCGCATCTACTAGACTATAACTTTCAGATTTTACACAGAAAAAGACCTCTAATTCGCAAATTATGTCACATTTAATCATAACACCTTACCTTCATGATTGTTGGAAGATAGCAATTCAGGTGGTCTCTCAGGTAATGACTTCTGCAGATCAATAGGTAACTGCTCATTGACACGAAACCAGACCTGCCATCACAGTAAAATATCCGACATCAGCAACAGCATTATTTTCTCATTCCTGCACCTAAGATTGCCATCGGCATGGATGATCTAAGACCAACCTAAATTCATGGAGATGAATGGCCAATCAAGCAAAGCTCTTGCCTGCGTGATATCTGGTCTGTCGTCTGGTCTGGCCTGAAGCATATCTCTGATTAGGTCCGTAAGGGATGAACTGTATTTTGGCAAATCAGGAATGCGGTAGTTTCCATTTAAGACTTGCAACTTTGATTCACCATCAAATGCACTTTTGAAGTAGCATATACGGAAAAGGAGACACCCCAATGCCTAGGATGTTTAAAAGTATATTGTCAGTTACACTAACAAAAATTAAAATTCATCAACCAAGAGAGGAAAACCAATGCTCTGCTTACCCATATATCCACTTTCTCATTGATGACTTCTCTCAGGAACAGATCCCACATCTAAAATGCATTACAGGAGTGAAATTAATCAAGCATCACAAAACTGCAATTTGAGGAGGGAAATCCCCCAACTTACCTCAGGGGCCCTATAGGCAGGAGTTGTGTGCTTCCTGATATTGTCTTCCTCAATCCCCATTTCTTCTGGTTTCTCAAAACGCTTGTGGTTGGTGGAAGTACTCCCGAAATCACATAATTTCCATAAACCATCTGGGCCAAACAAAAGATTCTCAGCTTTCAAGTCCCTGTAAAAATACAAGGGGGAAAACTCATCAGTGACATTCCATCAAGCATAAAGCAAATCACACACCAAAGAGTCTTTAATTTAAATCTGTAACTTTTCAATGATGTCTGACACAAAAAGTAACAGTAGTTTCAAATAGTACAGTTGAGAGATCATTTAAATAACAAGGAATTCATAAGCGCTGCAGAAAAGCATATCATAATGACAAAGCAACCGCACATGAAGATCTAGGCATCATTTCATTGTTAGTACATAAAATATGAAGTAGAGGTCCATAGATAACTAAGGAAGTCTAGAAGTGTAAATACTTGCTAGCTAGCTATCATATTTAGAGTAGAAACTGAGAGAGCAAAAGATAATGCTGAAGCAGACCTGCTAATCTGCACATTTAGGCATACCAACGAAAGGGAATTTCTCATCATAAATTTAAAAAGCACATAAATATAAAGATGAGAATGCATCAATAAATTGTTTCCAAAAGTTATCCCAAGGATATGAAAGATGTATATAAATAGACAGATTTCTCATTTTGACAAACATAAGTTAAGTAGTTAGCCTGGTTACCGGTGAGCAATAGGTGGGGATTGGCAGTGCATAGCAAAAACTGCGTTACATACATCCCTGAAGATTAGAAGAACTTGCTTCTCATCAAAATAACCAGCTCCTCGGCTCTCCAGCACACTAACTAGAGACTTATCACAAAATTCCATAACAAGGAAAGCCTCTTTTGTCCTACCCATATCAAAGATTGCATGAGCATAAAGTGTGACAACATTGGGATGCCCTTTCAATGACTTCATGACTGAGATCTCCTTCTTTACTAATTCAAGTGATTCTTCATCATTGCATATCATGTGCTTCAAAGCATATTGTTTTGACATGTTTACAGCATCACGAGCCAAGTAGACACAAGAGAACCCTCCCTCAGCAATCGCCTTCAGGACATTTACTTTAAGATTACCAACATCAATAGAACGGCCTTCAAGCCCAGCTGGCTCTTTTTGCATGAATGGCTTGAATCTCCACATGTTTTATGTAAAAACAACTAGAATGCTGCACATTTAAATAATATTATGAGCAACACTGCAGCTATGATAAAGGAGAATCATTATATCATTGAAGCATATTAAAATAGAAGTTGCTGACTCGACTTTTGAGTTCACTCTTCGCATCCATTAATATAATTTTATGCAGAAAGCTTTCCATGAACATGACTTAAAACATACGAAATCTAACAATTATTAGCAATCTAATGACTTAAGAAACTGACTATTTTTTTAGCTACAGATCAGCAATCTAACGATTTCTTTACTCAGAACATACGAAATCATTAGCAACAAAAGGGAAAATATATCATTAAAAAAATGACTTAAGAAACTGGAATACTGACATTTTCCTAAAAATTGGATACGGATCAAGAATAAGGAAAGTAAAAAATAATTGAGATAACCGCATAAAAAATTACAACGTTATAATGGATATAAGGGCAGAGATCTTACAAGTCATTCAAGACACAAATGACAACTCCAGAAGATCGAATCAGATAACGGACATCGATAACAAGTCGCAAAAAATGCAAATCAAGGGGTGACTTTACCTCAAAAGTTTATGGTCTCTTGGTCGAAGCCTTAATCCAAAACTCAGCTCATCAACCACAATAAAATCAGCTCGAATCAAACCAAACGCGCATCAGACGCCTCCGATCTGCGTCTAAATCAAAATACCAATTCAGCATAAAGATCGCAGGACTCCAATCCCCAGGATACAATTACAAATAAACAAAAGGCTAACCATTTTTAAATAACCATCACCCAAAAAATATTCTTCAATCACTTCAAACTAAATAGAAGTTATTAAACTAATGAAATTCGAGTAGGAAGCTTGTGCTTCCAAGGTTCTACCTATCCAGACGGCAAAATTGAAGATCGAAAATTTTAAATCCTAACAAACGAACCAAACTCTGGTGATAGCAATAACTTCTCCTCCTTCCTGGTCTTCTTCAGATTCACGAGGTGGAATGGAAGCAAAAGTTGCGCAAGGCAAGTAAAGTAGCAGCTAAGCAATATACAGGGACGGAAGGTGGTGAGGTGGGGAGGGGCTGCGATCTCGTGTATATGGGATGCGGTGGTACAAGGGAATCCACGCCGTTGAAGGAATGTGGGCCCATGGATGACGTTATGGATGAATCGGACGGTGAAAGATGAACCAGCCGTGATTGCATCGACAACGACGACCTTTCCTCTTTGGGTGACAGATCGCGACTTTGCAGAGAAGAAATCTCGCGGTACTGGAGGGAGGAGATAGAAGGAATTAGGAAGATACATCTCATCACAACGTGGCGTGGCGTCATTGGAGGAGATTTAACTTTTCACAGAGCTCGATGGACCGGCGTGGAAAATTGGTAAGAACTTTTTCACCATTAAAAACTGAAGAGGAGTAAATCATTAATTATTAACTATAAGGTAGAGAAATTTTTTCTTTTTATAACATACTGGAAAAAGGTTTTTATATAAATATATAATTTTATTCTTTATTTATTATTATATTAATTTTATTTATATGAGGTATAATATATATTAAACAGGAATAAAGATAAAAAGTTATTAAATTTTAAATAAAAGTTAATAAAATTTAAAATTTTTCTTAGTTTATGTAAAACATGTTGAAAGTGATTTATAAATATGACCAAAAGGTACCTCTCGTGTTATATATACACTTCAAATAACTGAATCATGTTTAAAAAACTAGTAGTTAAAATTAGTTAAAAATAATAAATATTCCCCTAGCCTTATTTATAAGTCACTTCTAACAAGTTTCATATAGATAAAAAAATCTTAAATTTTATTAACTCTCATTTAAAATTCAACAACTTTCTAACTTTATCCTTATTTAATATACATTATCCATCATGTAAATAAAGCCAACATAATAATAAATGAACAGTAAAATTGTACATCCATACAAAAAAAATTCTCTCAGTACCCTATAAATGGGATTAAAAAAATATCATCTCTCTTTACCCTATGAATAAGATTAGAGGAATAAGTCATAAATGTATTTTTTTTTATAAATTTGCCCTTATTTATTAAGAGAGTAAATGAGCAAGACAATAAATGAGAAAATGATAAAATAGAATATATAGGAATAATATTAATGGCAAGTCAGAAATGTTTTTTTTTTTTAAATTTGCCCTTATTTACTAAGAGAGTAAGTAAGAGAGGCAATAAATGAAAAAATGATGAAAGAGAATATATAAGGCTAATATTAATGAGAGAGAGAAAGTACCAAATATAGTCAACTAAGAGTAAAATAAAAAGAAAAATAATAAATGCTTAGACATACTCAAAAAATAAAATTTATATTTTAGATTAGCAAAAATCAAGTTTATATATCGGAGGGAGGGAGCAGCTAATTACTTTTTGTCTTTTTTTCAAGGTCTACTTAATTGAAATTTTTGGTTTAATAAATTTGTTTATACCATATATATATAAAGTCAGGGGAAAAATTTGTTGGCAAAAAAAATATAGGAAAAAATTTGCTCATAAATTTAAGTCACTTATGGGATATATTTTTTAATTTTACTCTTATTATTAAGTATGATAAAGATAATATGTAAGTGAAAATGTACAACATATTTTTAAACACCCTTTCTTTAATAGGAGCAAGAGCAAAAATTTTTAATTTAATATATTACTTAGTATGTGAGAATTATGTCTATGTAACTAATGAGCTACTGGTTGGTTGAGATGATAAACAGTCTCGTTCTTGTAAGAAGAAAAATATAAGTTTGAATCTCGAAAAGCGTATTTTTTGAGATGATTTTAACATTAAAGATCCAGACCAACAAAGATTAGTTTAAAATTTAAAATGATTTGAAAAATACTCTAAATTATATTAGAAAAAACTAGTTGCTTGTAACTTATACTGAAGACCATAATGATATTAATTAAAAATAATAAATATAAAAAAAATGTTTTTTTTAACACACCCTTATTCATAAGAGGGCTAAAATTTTTCTTTTGCGGTCAAGAGGGTCAAAATGCTATATAATACTTATATTATAAATTCGAAATGATAATTATCAGTTAATTACATGCTTGTTTTGCCAACCAGTGAATTACATGTAAAGAGATTGATGGTTAAGGTTAATTGGTTAATGCTTAATTAATTAATTTATCACACATTAGTGGAGAGTGCACTTTAGAGACCGAATATGGCAGAGACAGGTAACACTTAAGAAACACTATCTGTCTTAATATCATTATTTATATCAATCAAAATCAACACACACGTAACTGCTAAAAGTGGTTTTGAAGAATGTATGACCATAAAATAAAGGGAAAATTACACTCAGGTCCCACAGAGTATAATTAATAAAAAAGATCCCTCGAAATAGCAAAATGATTCTGAAGTCCCAGGGACCTGTGTGTAATTAATTCTAATTGTGAAATTACGTAGTTACCCTTGTTAATTTTATTGCAACAATTCGTTTACAACCTCAACAGTGGCTGTTAACAACCCGAGAAGACGTGATTGACAATCTCAGCAGTACTCATGACAACTCACTCTGTGGAATGCCAGAGGCGTTGTTGAGGTTGTTAACTATCTCTTCTCGGGTTGTTAACAGCCACTGTTGAGGTTGTAAATAGGTTCTAATTTTATTTCAGCAATTCGTTTACAATCTCAACAGTGACTGTTAACAACCCGAGAAGACGTGATTGACAACCTCGGCAGTACTCATGACAACTCACTCTGTGGAATGCCGGGGGCGTTGTTGAGGTTGTTAACCATCTCTTCTCGGGTTGTTAACAACCACTGTTGAGGTTGTAAATAGGTTCAAATTAATAGGGGTAACTACGTAATTTCACAATTAGAATTAATTACACACAAGTCCCTGGGGATTTAAGAATCATTTTGCGATTTTGAGGGACCTTTTTAATATTAATTGTGCTCTGTGGGACCTGAGTGTAATTTTCCCTAAAATAAATTATAGAATAATGTAATACATAACTTTTTTAAGTTAATATAATATTATTTCTTATTCTTATCGCGATCATATAAGTGCGTGAAACGGAACCAATGCGGAGGAGGGCCCTGCTTGTCATATGAATATTAAATAATAATAATAATAATAATTTTATGCTTTGACAACACAATTAAATTTAAAATTTAATTCTATTTCACTATTTTCTTTTAAAAAAATACCAACAAGCTATTGGTTAAGGTAGTAAATAGCCTTATTCCTATAAAGAAGAGAATACAAGTTTGAATTCTATGAAGCGCCCTTGTTGACGGAAGAGAAAATTTTTTACATTTTAAACTAATATATTTATGTCTCCAAAACCATTCACGTACTTCAAAACTTTATATCTTTATGTCTCCACAATATAATTGTAATATGTTTTTGAATAAAATTATCATAATACAACATTAACAATTAACATTTCAATTTTACAGTTAATATATTCTAATTCTAAGTTCACAATTTTTATCTCCACAACACACTTGAAAATTAAAACATTCTATTTTCTTGTTAACATGTTTTAATTTTAAATTAAAAACTTTTTATTAGGATAAAATTATCAGGACTAAGGGAGGAAGACTTTATATAAAAACTAACTCATTGATGTTGTTTTGATTCATTTTTCAACTTTGTAATAATCGACGCTAAGTTCACCAATTTAGAGATCTTATCCAATGCAAAAATGATAGAAAATCATCTTCTTTTTAGGTTTCTAATAAAATAAATATTAGAGTGATTTCATAAAATTTTTAAATAGTTCTTTGGATCATGTGATCTGATTAGAAATTTGATAAATTTAATAATCAAAATGAGAATTTGGTTATTTAAATGTCTTTTTAAAGGATTTTCCTTTTCCTTTTCTTCAGTTTAATATATAAAAATTTCATGGATTTAGTATATAATGCAATTCTTTTTATCTTCAAAATTTTTTAACGAAATTTCCAAATTCTAGTTCTAATATTACAATAGAAAAAACAAAGATAATTCAAAGGTAATTTTTGCCTTTATACGATAGGATCCTTTCTCTACAGTAAACTCTTCCTGCTTTCTTGACGCAATGGAATCATTGTATGCCAAAATACAGTTGGAATATTTTTAAAATGAAGAGATGTGTTTTTAAAAAGTTATATTCTTATACAAATTTATTAAATTAAATAAATTTATATGAGGGGTTGTGTCTTCATATAAATTAATATATTTATATAAAGAGTTATGTAGGAAGTTACAATACTAAAAGATCATACATATTAAATATATTTTTTTTATTTAATTATGTTGGTTTATTCATGAACTAACATATGATTGTGACTTTTTATTTAATAAAGTATTATTGCAAAAGGTATTTCTTCAAGGTATTATTCCGTGGTCTATATAAACCCCTCATCATCACTTTATTTAAATATAATACAACACAAACACAAAGATTAAACTCATTGCCCTTGTCTTTGAGTGCAAGCAAAGATAGATTCAAATTATCACTTTGTAAAAGCCATTGTTGTCTTTACTTGAATCTTGGAAGTACAATCCATATTCAAGGGTCTTCATTATATCCTGAAAGAAATTTGTCGGGCATCTCAACTTGCACTCTAGAAGATAGGAATAGATGGGAGCGGATTAAGTCTAAAAAAATGTACTGCTCACGTCTTGAAGACATCATGCACTACGTTTTTCTTCATCTCTTTTTTTTGTACTTTTCAGAAAATCATTCCCGCCAACAAATCGTTGAATGGGAATTATGAAAAAGATTGATTTCCATCATACCAAACTACTCCATCTCTCTAATTTCCCTTCTCCAACCAAACAGGGTCGTTAGATTGACCAAACGGTCCATTAATTCGTGAATTTATCTAGCATACATTGCCTTCATCCTAAACAAACAAAGGTGGACTGTTCCATGAATCTAAGGCATATCACGATTGTTATTTGATACTTATTTTTAAAGGTTTTGGGGTCGGTCTAAAATTTAAGTTCAGGCACTGCTGGAAACGTTTAA